AACACTGATGGACAGCATTACTCCAAGTTACTTGATAGTGATGTGCCTATTGTCACGAATAAGCACATCTGCACTGTCAATGTTCAGCTCGGTGATGGATGTTCGCGGCCAACAATCATGCGGTTCATTCTCCACACGCTCTCTCTGAAGCACTTAACACCACTCAAACACACGGGTCCGTGAGACACTCTTCCCCTTACTCCTGTTGGAGTCTGTGGTGAATTTCAGCGGACGGGACGTTTTCTCCGAGGAATTTGATCACAATGCGTTGTTCCACACTCCGCGGTACCTTCTGTACACTCATCCCTCTAGTATCTCCCAGACAGCACTGAACAGGTTCTAACCCTAACAGGGGAGAGTGGAGGTTGTGGCTACAATCTCTCAAGGTCGCACAGCTGCTGCGCAGTGCGGCTTGTTTACAAAAAAATCAGTCCCATTCATATTTGAACCACCTAGTAGTAAAAACTTCAACAGTCACACTGGATGGAGTTGCTTTATCTTTTATAAAATTTAGAAACAGTGTTTGACATCCAAAGGGACTCACAAGTGGTACTTGACAGCATAACGGGAAATGACTTCCATGGTCCTTTTGAAGTGTGGAAAAAAGAAAAACTGAGGGGATTGCTGTACATGTTCCCAAGGAGACTATCGTGAAGGAGATGGCAGCGAAAATTGAGTAAGTTAAGCCAGCATTTCTTTTTTTATCCAGTCCAGGAACTTTCCGATACCACCTTGTATGCTTATTTAACCCAGTGTTTCTCAACTGCCAGACCCTGGCATCAACTATACCAATCCATCGTCTTATAAAAAAAGAATGTACCGGGCCACGGTCTCACAAAGTTTGAGAACCACTGATTTAACCTTCAAAAGCAGAATGAAAACTTTGTCCTGACTGAAACTGATGGTCAGTGAACGAATGGTGACTACAGCCGTTGTAACCGTCCATTCTGACTGGAGGAGTGTTGTGTGAAAATTAAATTTTGTATTAAGTTAAGATTAACAATATTACAAACAAAGAGATCCGGCAGATAGCCAGCTCTTACACGCGGAAGGGACATAGTTCAAGTTTTGCTATGTGAACAGGAAGTAACATCTGGTACTTTCCTAGAATTCTGGCAGTTTCAGCAACGTCGGAAAGGCTTTGAGAAAATGAGAGCTGACAGCTTGGGACAGCGATAACTTAGAAGTGGGACGGCCGGAGCCTCACACCCTGACTGTAATGCATCAAGGGGCTGTCATCCTTAGCGTCAGGTCAGCATCTGCCAGAATCACATAGCAGAGCAACATGATTGGGAATTCAAAATTTAGGGAACCTCCTAGTTTGAAAAATTAACAAATGGCAGAAGGGAGGAGTGGATTTCTCTTGGAGTCTGGGGTTCGTGGACCTCAGAATTCAGAGAGAGGGCATTCCACCTCGGGGAGTCTTGACACTAAATTTACCACTACGGCCCTTCCGTAAAATAGTATAAGTACAGTTCAAATCAATAGTATTAATAAATTCAGTTGTATGCAGAAAGCTGGAAGGGATTAAAGGACTACTAAGTGCAACCGTCGAAAGGTGGGTGATTGTAGTGAAGTGTTCTTCCTGCCCTGTCCGAGCCAGACCCTTATAAGACCCTGCGATAGGAACCCAGCTCTACTGATTAAAGTAAAGAACCCAAAGAAGTGAGCAGTGGTGGAGTGGCGCACAACGAAAAGGGCACAAAGGAAGTGAGCGGTTACACTGTATAGAAACAACACATCCCATCCTGTAACACAGTCTGCAATTTTTTTTTTCCCATAGGCTCACAGACCCAAACAAATGGCTTCCACAACCCTCCACATACACTGCCTTTGCAACAGTGCCTTCAGGTTATTTATTTTTATAATCCAAACCTCACAGCAAATTCCAAGAGTTCATGCTTAATCTCTATAAGCTGATGTTTTTATTGCACTGTAAGTATATTGTAACGTGTTTCGTTACTGAAGACGCCATAGAGATGGTTTATTGGTTTATTTAACAATCTACAAGAAACGGCTACAGTTACTTATCACACAGTTGTGGGGTTTCACACTTTATAACCCTAATCGCAATATTCTGTTACCACTGTCTTCAGTAGTCTACACGTATACAGTAGGGGAGCTATGTATCACTGTATCACACGCTCCCAATTACACAATCACACACACGTCCGGTTCTTCTATCCGCGACGGCTGCTATACTCCAACTTGTAGTCTGCTCACTGGAGAACTGTTGATAACACCCTCGGCGACTGTCACATTACAACTCGACTCGGCGACGGTTATGTTCCAACTCAACTCGCAGCCGCTGTGTGGCTCACTTATATAGCCGCAGTGCTTGCTTGTTGCGTAATGAGTGCCACGTCACAGTAGGAAGCGGTTCCGCGTCACCGTGCGTTGCACGTTGCATAGCTACCAGGATGCGGGGACTCGGCTAACTTCGGCTCCGCTCGTGACGTCACCGCGGGGAGAGTGGCGAAGTGATGACGCGTCTCTTACGTGAGCGCTACGTTACCGCTACGTGCCGCTGGGGAGGTAGGGGTCAACATGTCACAATATGTTAGGAATAGAACAAAGTTCCATAAGAGATCACCAAAAATAAGGCCTAGCTGAACGAGAGCAACAAACCATCTGTGTCAGCACTCAGCCATCTAGATGTGCAAAAGTGAGTGACATGGGAATAGGAATGGAGTTATACCCAGATTCAAGAGAAGAAATATCCATTCATAACAAGTAGGGTGAGTTGCAATGACATCAGTAGCTCCCGTTTAATTCTGTAGTAGAGAGTACAGGGATCCTGGAAGAGGCACATGCTTGACCAGAAACAACACAAATGTATGTGTTGTGCTGCCACTTACATATCTGATATCCGTATGTAATTCCAACACAACTGAAAGTGTTGCAACTATTTATCTGCTGACGATACTTGCTCAAGAAACCAACAGATGTTGCCAAAGCTAACGGCAACCCTGCACCTCATAGACATTCCTCTTTCTCGCTTTGATTCTGAAGATGGGCCATAACCAGACCAGCATTATACACTGTAGCAGTACTTGTCTAGAAAACCTACGTACAAAGCTCTTCTATCCATGTCAGGCAGCATTACAGATTTTTTACATACAACTATTTCTATGTTTTGAAAATGAGATGGTCTGGGCAAGAAGAGAGAATGTTATGATACATCTTGGAAAGTAAAAAGGGGTTTTATATGAATGCAAGATTTGCTGAAGCATACAATCCTTGCAACAAATGAAGCAACTCTAAATTCCTAAGGCAAAATGGTTTTCCATGACTATAAAAAAAAAGACAGGAAACAGTATGGCACAAAGTTGTACAAATTATGCAGCTCACTGGTGTACACCAATGACATGAAAGGAGAGGAAAATCAAGTTCATATGATATGTAAGTTCATATAACTGTTTTAACTTTAACTGTGGTAATATCAGAACACAATGGATTAATGAGGAACAATATAAAGGGTAAAGTTATCTCAACAATTAATTCAGCACCACACAACAAAGAAGGCAGGAGTCAGGATAGTGCATTGGGTGCAGCGACAGGCTTTGGGCTGGACTGAAAACGGAATGGAGTTTGTGTTCCTGCAGGTAAAATTTTTCTCTTCATGTTGTTCAGACCAGTTCTGAGGCCAAGCCAGCCTCCTATCCAGTGGGTACTAAAGGCTCTTTGAGGGTAAAGTGGCCACTCACTTCACTACTGCCAAGGTCAATAACATGTGAATCCACTCCTGCATACATCTTCAAGGCATAGTGCATAATTAGTTAAGCACAGACAACCTTGCCTTTACCATGAAGATGTATGGGAGATTGGAAGCATAGCTCCACACATTCTTGATCTTCACATTCAACAGGGGTGAGTGCTGTTGTAAAGGGATTTGCATAAATATTCTGTTAACACTAATCAAATATTACTATTGAAATTTTCTTCATTTTCTAGTTGAAGCACTCTGGCAATGATGTGATTATAATGTAAAAAAAGAATCTAGTCAACTGCTTAAGGACAAAGATAATTTCTAAAGGGCAATTCACTGATCTTGAAAAAAAGAGACTTAGGCCAAAAACCATTAGTACTTCACAATATGACACAAACATGCCACCCTACAAGGTACTTAAAAGAAGGCAGAAGTAATCTTCAGTCAGATGCAGCAAATGCTCTTGCTCAGAGCATGTAGAAGTCAACTGAAAAATTAAGTAAGTTTCTGTATAAGTTACATAATACAGTATATACATTTCAACATACAAAATATCTGCTTAAATAATTTACTAGAATATCTCCAGTTCAACTTTGAAAATGTCTGTAGATAACCTCTATTAAAGTGTGTTATAGAGGTCATCTCTGGATATTTTAAGAACTGAACCAAATATATGCCAATAAATTACTTCATCAGATATTTTGTATGCTGAAGTGTGTGCAAATTTTTTGGGCCTTTCTGTGTAATATACTGATTCTTATCCCACGCTTGAAAGCATGAGCTTTGTTTTTTCTTATCATACGAAAGTTTATCAATGTCACCTACGCATCATACTTATTTTATGTTATTATTGTTATTTTGCAAAATAATTCTAGGGTAACTTGCATACTGAACCGAACCCATGCCTTTTTACAGCAACATGCACATGCAGTTATTATGAAACACTGCTTCCATACATTGTTGAGATTTTCTTGCAAATGGCTCTGTAACGAATATAGGCTTGGTTATACTGAGAAGCAAAAACTGCATAATAAACCGTTTGATGTTTCTGCCTGATTTACTTAATTATTAATTTGTTTTAATGCATATGAAATATCTGTTTACACAACAACTCCCATCTATATTCGACGTCTGAAGTGTAATACCCTGAAAGAGTTCAGAATCTGGTGAAATGTTACCGGTTCCTATACAGATGCACAACAATATCTATATATGGAAGAAAATAAAAGTACTTTATACCAAACATTCGCCCAAGAAATCCAATGAGCAATTTAAAATGCTAACACTTTACCTGTACAAAATGACTAGAAACAATTACTGGCCACTATCGTGCACACACGATGCTACCTTATAGAATTCTCATGAATATGCGATCACACTAAACCTCTTAATAACTGACACGTTTCACTTTCTTCCTTTTATCTTCGGTGTACATATTTCTTATCTCCTTCGCATCCCCTTAACTCAGCAATCTCTCTACGTAACCATTTTACACGTACGTGCTCAGTACCAGCGTGTCACATTTCTTACACGTCACCTTCCCTTCCTTGTAAAAGCAAAATCTTCCTGGCCTTCGACCCCTTCCACTGTTCCGGCCTGCTTTTCTTTTATTCATACTTTTATCGTCGTTCTCAACATTCTACACGTGGAACATGGCGAAAACTGACTGCAAGTAGGAGACACGGATCACTAGCACATACAAGGTCTGTGGTCGATCATAGAAGCTGGCCTAATTCTACTGCTAAACAGCAGGGAAAAGTGGGATCTGTTGTAGTATAATAACAATAATAACAACCTGGAATTTAGGTAACGCCACTACCTCTGAGTCACTAAACTATCGTAGGCAGATCATTAAGTCGGGACAGTTTGAGTGCAATATGAGTGCGGAATGTATACATATGGCTAAATATATTACAGTCACACAGTTTGCTACTAACACTTCCCATCACAACGGGATCAAGGATGGGTCAATAGGTATAACGACGGGCTACGGGGCTGGATGATCTGGGTTAAATTTCTGGCAGGGGTAAGAATTTTTTCCTTACCCCACAGCGTCCAGTCTCTTGGGACCACCCAGACTCCTATCCAATGGGTAGCATCGGCTTCTTCTATGGTGGTGAAAGAGCTGGGACATAAAGCTGACCACTCAACTCCATTAATGCCGAGATAAGAATGATGGAGTGATATTTCCGCCTCCTCACACGTCTTCATGGCGTGGTAACTAACTGATTTACCGCTTTACAGTTTACTGTCTTTAACATCGTGTAGCAGTGCAGCCCAGCCTCAAACCCCAGATAAGCACTGTTACACACAAATAGTTTTAAGATACCCGGATATGGCCAGGTCCGGTTGATGACATGTAGCAGTGGAAGAAGGTGTCTGTTTCGGTAGGTGTAGCAAAGAAGTGCAATTAAGGATATCTTTCGGATTAGCTAGTTGTCACGTTCTTCTTATAGTGAATCTCTTTATCGGACTTAAAATCACGAACTCGGATGGAGAGAGTTTAAGCGCGATATCTCGTTCGTGCATAATATTACACGTTTGTGGGTTGCACCGGAGAGATTGGTCCGACTACACAGAATTCTCATTCGTTTATCAAAATTGACAGTCCGACTGTTAAAAGCATTTGGTGGCACGCATGGACCCAATCAGAAATTTATGCTTCAAATGCGTTTTTGGAAATTCCAGACTGCCGATTTCATTTAAACCGGTGTTCTCGGTGACGAAAACAGTTCTAGTTCTTCATCTGCGACTTCTAGTTCTTCTGTCGTGACGACGGTGACGACGGTGACGACTTCTTCTGCGGCTTCTTAGATGTGTACTCGTGACCTCGTGACTGTTTCCATTTGTCCTGCGTCTCGCAATTCCACTTACACGACCTATACCACTAGCTCTTGTACTTTTAATAAAGTTAACCATATGTAATAAGATAGTCACAAAATTGTGAACGTTGCAGTGTGCCAATTGAAAGAGGATCATATTGTGACATGACACCTGAAAGCAGGAATAGTCCACTGCTAGACAACGGCTAAGCATGTATCTGCGGCAACGTATATGCAGAGAATAACAGAGGAACTCTTTTAGGTGCCGATCTCTATTTGGTTCGCCCCGAAGTTATAATGGGCAGACAAGTAATTGATTCTTGGTTAACCGTGTGGAGGCGAGGACGAATACCTCCACCGTGACCCTGCGAGTCGTAGGAGGCGACGAAAAGACTGCACTGGCAAGGGCCAGCAGTGTATACAAAAGGCAGACCCGTCCTCTCGTTAGAGAGGGCGCCCCACAAAAACAAGACCGTAAATGCCAAACAGTAACAAATATCTGGTTATGAGCCCCAGACAGGGCTCGACACCAAGACTTACTGACTGACTGACCTACCATCAGTCGCAATGTGACTTGGATTTGGATTCTTCGTTCGTCATTCATCCTTAGTTCAGTCACAAGTGAGCAGCGATTCGGCATTAAGTCGTAAGTGAGCTGCCATTCAGCAGTCTTCAGTCGTAAGAGAATTCAGGAAGCAGTTCAGTAGCTGAGTTGAGTGATCAGCTGTGGAGTGCTGACCAGCGGACAAAGGAAGCTGAAGTGACCGACTCGTAAATCAGCACAAAATCAGTCACAGCAGAAGAGAAGACACTCATAGTCCGAGAAGGAAGGGAGTGAGTCTTAGGCAACATTGCTTGTGAGCTGTTATAATTGATTGTAATTAAGTGTGATTGTATAGGAAGGTGTCAATAAATCCAACTAATTCATTCATTCAGTAATCTGTCAAGACCACAGGTACACAGTCTCCTCCAAAACAGTTCCTCCACTTAATGCGATCTAGAGCTTTCTCCTTCAAATGAAAATATCCTCTTCTGTCCCCAAGGTCACCCAGCATCTTCTTACATCTTCTTCCTCGTTTCTGGTCACTTCTATCTGCCCCTCTATCTTTCCTTCAATAACTTCTTTTAGAAGGCAGTTACTGCGTAAGATATGACCAATCCAATTGGCCTTCCATTTTCTTATTTCGTGTAGGATATTCCTCTGCTCACCGACTCTAAATAACTCCTCTTCATTTCTCACATAATCGGTCCAACTGATCTTCTCCAACACCAGATTTCGAAGCTTTCCAGGTGTTTCCGATCTACTGCCCTAAGTGTCCAAGTTTCAGCCCCATACAAAGCCATGCTCCAAATGTAGCATTTCACTAGTGTCTTTCTCAAATTTAAGTCCAATTTGCTGTTAAAAAGATTCTTCTTCTTACTAAATGCAGCTTTTGCCATGGCAATCCTGCATTTAATTTCACTAGTACACCTTCCATCATCTGTTAACAAGCTACCCAAATATTTAAAACATTTCACATTCTCCAGTTGTTTTTGGTCTATCTTTATTGTGACTGGGGTTGGTTGTCTCGAAATTTTCATTACTTTTGTTTTCTCCACATTCATTTCCTTCCATAGCACCTTCCAATTTTGATTAGTCTATCAATCATACCCTGTAGCACAGTTTCTTCCTTAGGCATTAACACAAGGTCATCTGCATATTTCACAG